CTCTGTTGAGGGCCTCAATAACACCATTGGTGAGGGGCCTACCGCAGAGCTGTACATACACCTGACGCGCCGTCTCCTTTTCTTGGTGTTTCTCCTGTCTGCTTCTATCTACAGAGCATGAGTTGCTGCTATTCATGTCGTTGCTGCTGCAGCTGCTGCTGCAGTGGATAGTGCTGCTGCACCTACAGTTGCCGCTGCAGCTGAAGCTGCAGTTGCTGCTGCAGTCGTTGCTGCTGCTGGGTAGCTGCTGCTGTATAGAGAGGCGGACCAGCTGCTCATCAGTAACAAAGAGGATACAGCTCAGAAGCCGCGAGAAGAGAGAGGGGCCCACCAGCCGCAGCAGCCGCAGGAAAGGGGGGGCCCCCAGAATGGGTACTGCCTCGTTCAGGGGCCCCTCAATGTCGCTGCCTGAGGGGCCCCTCGAGGGGCCCCTCGGGGGGCCCCTCTGCCTCGATAGGCCCGCTATTAACGCGTTCTTCGCCACAGCTGAGCATACACCCCAACCCACAAGCACACCCAACGGGGCAGATGAACAGCAGCAGCAGCAGCAGCAGCAGCAGAAACAGCAGCAACAGGAGTAGTAGTAGCAGCAGGAACAGCAACCGCAGCAACAGCAGTAGCAGCAGTCAGCAAGAACACATGAAAAGGAATATATGAACAGGGGCCCCCAACAGGGGCCCCACTGCAGCAGGCCTTGGGCTTGCCTGCTCTGCTGCCTGCTGCTGCTGATCGGGGGGAAGGCAGCAGCTGCAGCACGGACTCTCGTATGCATTGCTGCAGCGCAACAGCAGCAGCAGCAGCAGCTGCTGCTGCTGCTGCTGAACTGCTGCAGTTCATCTCTCTTCTTCCTGCTGCTGCATCTCTGCAGCCACAACAACACCACACAGCACCGGGGGGCCCCCAAAGCCAAATGAAGGGGTCTAGAGGGGCCCCCATACGTGGGGGGTTCAGAGTGTGCTAGTGTTAGCTTACGGGGGCAGGCAGGGCCTGAAGGTGAAGGGAGTTGTTTGCTGCTGCTGCTGCTGCTGATGCCTCTGTTGCTGCTGCAGCTGCTGCCTCTGTTGCTGCTGCTGCTGCTGCTGCTTCTGCCGCTGCAGCTGCTGCAGCAACCCCCCCACATCCTCAATGAAGAGAGACTGCCGCAGCAAATCCAGGCTCCCGTCTCGCGCCCCACACAAACGCAGCGCGCACCATTCACACAGACCGCAGCAGCAGCAGCTGCTGCTGCTGCTGCTGCTGTTGCTGCTGCTCAGGCTGCAGCTGGTTGTGGTGGTGCAGCCGTTACTATATTCGCGACTGTTGGTGCCGCTGCAGCTGCCGCCTCCACTGCAGCAAGCAGCACTTCCCAGCTGCTGCTGCTGCTGCCGTTGCTGCTGTTGCTGCTGCTGCTGCTGCTGCAGGAATGCAGGAGCTGCTGCAGCGTGGCAAGGCGCTGAGCCCCCCACAAGGCGGAGGCAGTACAAGCCCAGTACATACACCGGAACGCCAGCAGCAGCCTGCAGCTGCTGCCTCGCCTGTTCTGCTGCTGCTGTGGGGCGCAGCAGCTCAAGAAGCTCCTCAGTAGTGTGTCGCTGCGGAGCTTGTCTGTCCTGCTGCTGCTGCTGCTGCTGCTGCTGCTGTAGCTCGTGCTGCTGCTGCTCTTGCTGTAGCTGCTGCGGTTGTTGTTGCTGGGGCTCCTGCTGCTGCTGTCGTTGCAGTAGCTGCCGCTGCTGTTGCTTCTGCTCGCGCTGTTGATGTAGCAGCAGCAGCAGCAGCTGCTGCTGCTGCTGCCACTCCTGGAGTTTTTGCTGATTCGCCTTCAGCTGCTGTTGCCGTTGCAAGTGCTGCTGCAGCAGCTGCTGCTGCTGCTGCGGTTGCTGTTGCTGCAGCTGCTGCTGACGCAGCTGATGCTGCGGCATCAGCTGCAGCTGTTGCTGTTGTTGCTGGGGCTTTTCCTTTTGCTGCTGCAGGTTGTGCTGCTGCTGCTGCAGCTGCTGTAGCTGCTGTAGCTGCTGCAGCTGCTGCAGCC